CTAAAATTCTAAAAGTCCCTAGAATGAAATGGATGTAAAGACTCCCTTGCCTTGGTTACCATATTTTCCCTAGGATAGCATTTGTTGTTGACTGTACACGGGCTACCGCGACGAAGAGAAGGCCGTATAACACCATTTTGTGGTCTTGAACGACCGTAAACTAACGCGGAGATATTATCAATTAAAAGGAGACGATGGTCATTCGTGAAACAATGAAAAGGCGCGAACGAAACAAATCATTTTGCTTCTGTTTTTAACGCGACTCCACGTGATCGCGTTATTATCCTCCAGAATCCAAACAATCTATATTTGTCGCCAAAAAATTAATAATAGCTAAACTATCTATATATATTGCCTAAAACTTACACAGTCAAAAAATCCACATATATCGCCAAAAATTTATAACAGTTTACAGTCAAAAAGTCTATGACAACTAAATGGTTCGTGTGTTGTCAAAAAGTCTGTAACAACTAAACAATCCATATATATTGCCAAAATCCTATACAGTCAAAAAATTTGTATATATCGCCAAAAATTTGTAATAGTTCATTGTCTAAAAATCTGTAATAACTAAACAATCTATATATATTGCCAAAAACCTACACAGTCAAAAAATCTGTATACAATGTATATCGCCAAAGGTCTATACCTAAAACAATTCATATTGCTAAAAACCTACAACGAATCTATAATAAATAGTTAAAAGATGTATAATAGTAAAGAAAGTATAGTTAGAACGTGTATAATAGCGAAACAATTTCCTATCCCATAAATAGCCGAAAACGAATAGGGCAGAATACGAATAACCCGTTAACGGTGATTTAAAAGCACCGGGTCTCGATAAGGTATCAAGTAACCGGGATCAGAACGTAAAATCTTTTGAGTGCCCCTCTCGCGGCAGATTTTTACGCTTCGAATGGTCTATTTCGTTTTACAGCCGTAGAAATCGCGAGGCAATTCGCTTGATTGCAGGATCGGTGTATTTCAATTGGCATTAAAGCTTCGCTTTCCCTGAAAGCCAATACGCCAGTGTCTCATTAGTCGTGTTATTTATACGTTATTTTCCGAGCTTAGATATCCCGTGGTTCGCTCATTATGCAATGGTTTCGAAGCTGCAACCACAAGGGGCCCCTCGACAAGCGTCCATCGATTGCTCATACTCGAGATAAAGGATGAACGCATTTGCATATAGATTGAGTTCCTCCGTTTCCAGAGATGTCGTCGTTTTTTTTTGTTTTTCGTTTCCACCTTTTTTCCCACCGGATGATGCGGCTCTACTACCGAATCAACGGGACTCGACTAGTAGATCCACGGTGAAATCTCGAATAACGACAGCATCGTCCCGGATCCTCCTTTTGTCACCGTTTAACGATTTAATCTACGCCTCGACCGCGAGGAAATACCCGTCCACGAAACTAACCGGCTGAAATGATCGAATTTTAAGCAGCTGACAAATTTTATGCGTATCGCGTCAAGGACGTTCGCAACATTCTGTGTTAACGAAGTTAAGGATAACGAGAGATCCTAGAAAAATTGTGATACCCGCAGGAACTGGTTTGAATCGAAATTATTAACAGTACGACGACGTTGCCACAATATTTTCATATGAACGTTTTATCGAAAAAAATATGGGGACTCGGAGGATTGCCTTAATTCCACATACGCCGTTTCCATGAGAAAACGGCGCTTTGCATTCAAATACGTAATAACGAAATTGTCCTTTTCAGGACGATGCTCTTCCGAGGAACTCTGAGGATTTTATCGGTTATGAGTTCCCATGGTAGATACGCCTAATGCATTTGCTCGAAAACTGCGAGTTTTCTTTGGCTAACTATAATTTTAATCCGAATTTAGTGGCCATCGAATGCGATTGGTTGCAGACGGAAAAATTAAATGATATATCCCTTATGATGATAGGTAAAAAGTGCAACGCAACATAAATTTATTTTATAAACATAAAAAAAGATGTCGTATTATTAGTAGCTACCATGTAGGTAGACAGAGTGGTAAATATACAATTATATAAATAAATTGTAAAAATGAATGTATTGTATAAATGATATACTACGAATGTATTTAATAAGTATGAATAACTATACACATGAGCACCTATCAATGTAAATTAAATCAGAAGCCGAAAAAATATCAAAATATCAAACTTGAAGAAATATTACGTGACACATTTGCCCACCCACGTTCCTCGATTCTTGAGAAAGCACGAAAAGGATCGATACCATTCACTCGAATGAAGAAAAAATGCCGCTTTATCTCGGCGAATGAAACTTAAGGGGAATGCATACGCGACGACGGCAAAAAAGGAAGAGGAAAGAGTAGATCGCTGAGGGCGAAAAACGGGAATCGTTTGGGGTTGAAGAACTCCCAGGAGCCCGCGAGGAATCAATCGAGCAGGTTTATCGCAGAACCCTCAATTTTTCTCTAGGTTTCCATTAAAAAAGGCTGCCGTGCCCTTGCACCCTATCGAGTTCGACGGTAAATCGCTTCGGTATAAGTCGCTAGCTTGACTGATAAGCAGCTACGAGAAATGATGGCAGTTCGTTTGAACCAAGTAGAGTGATAACCGTTCGCGTGGAACAGAATGTCGATGAACCTACTGAAACAATCTGTGAATTCGATGCATAAAATTGATTTATCGTTCCCTTTCGCGTGCTATCGACCATGTAAATGACCGAATAGAGACAGCGTTTACGGACTAGACGATTTAGATGGCTCTTACGGCGATACGGGGATAGGAGAAAGTAGCTGTAATTTGCGAAACGTGATACTGGATGCATAAAGTTTGTACAATGCGATCTCGGTGTCTTATCATGGACGTGATCGAGTATTATAGTTGTTAGTACTTATCTCTCTTTACTACATTACGATATTTTCTGTACGTGTGATGTTCTGTGTTTGGAAACTTTTGTGTCATTAATTTAGATATTGATTGTTCAAATTTTTCAATTCTTCAATTTTTCAATTCTTCAATTCTTCAGTTCTTCAATTCTTCAGTTCTTCAATTCTTCAATTTTACAATTCTTCAATTTTACAATTCTTCAATTTTACTATTCTTCAATTTTACAATTCTTCAATTTTACAATTCTCCAATTCTTCAGTTCTTCAATTTTTCAATTTTACAATTCTACGATTTCTTTAACTCTTCAACCCTTCAATTGTTCAGTGAATCAATTTTGCAACTTTGAAAATTTTCTCAAAGTTCCAACTTTCCAAATCTTCAAAATCCGATCACAATCTAAAATCGAGAGTGCCATACATCAAGAGCGAACCGTACCTAAGTAAATATCGTACACAAACTATCTCAAGTCCTATCACCTAGCAATCCGATCTGAAGAGTACTTGTCAACCAACGACAAAAAAAGAAGTCCCCGTCCCCGAGTGTGTACCTATCGCCGAGTAGGCACTCGATCACGCTTGACTTACCAAACCGATTTGTAAATACGGCTTTTTTTCTTACACAGGGATAAAAAAGAAAGAATAAGTTGTACGTCGATTTATTCATGAAAAGAAGCGGGGTTACATTTCCGGAACGAGTGCAGCGTCGTGGAAAGAGCATTTTAAATTCTCTTAACTCGTTCGTCGCGCTGGAATGGCGCTGAGGTTAAAGGATTTTGAGGCGTGCTCGGAGAATTTTAAGGCCAACTCATTAGGATAACGAGACAGGCATCCAGTTGCCCGTGACACGAGACCCGTGCACACGCGTGCAAACGCGGGCTGTTTCGTATTCAACGGAGCCCCGGCTTTCTATGCACGATACGCGACAACGAGTACGACCCGTTAACGTTGTCCCGCCTGATCGAGAGATTACGAAACTCACTTCGGCCATTAAGGGAGTATTCGGAGGGGTGAAAAAAACCATTCCTTTTCTATTCTGTTGCATTACGGTACTCCTTCGAAACGGGCTCTTGAAATTCTGTGCTCGGGTTCGCTGAAATAACAAACGTTTCGAAGTCGTAGGGAAACACTTTCGTAAATCAATTAAAATTTTAATGTAATGGTTATATTGATTGTCTTCAAATTTTATGTACATTTTGAGGCACATAATATATGCACTTATGCATTTAATTATTGATTGAAGTTTTCGTTTTGAAGAAGTTAAAAGTTTCTTGAATTTTAGCGCTGTATGGCCGCCATTTTGTTGTCGAACTTCCCTTAAATGATAGTTCGAGAGAAAGTCTTTTATTAATACTGTAATGATGTTACTAGTATTAAACATATTGTATAAAATACTGAGTGTATTAATACTACAATAATACTATAGAAAATAACATAAACATTATATAAAAAATTAAATTTTACTAATAAAAATACTGACTGACAGTACTTAATTATAACACCAATAATAATGCTGCAATATGTAATATAATAATACCGTAATATTCCAATATAAATAAATATGAAGAAGCTTTCAGCGAACACATAATATCCTCTCATTTTTATTAACTATAATAGAAAAGAACGAGCCAAATAATTTCCTCCCATAAAATGCACGCAACTCACATATCCATCACACTCTCAAATTTAATTAACCCATCAGCCGTTTCCGCCAGTCCGCAGTGCAGACCGCGAGATATAAAGAGTGTAAAAGGCGAATAAATATATAAACTTGAAATTACAATATTTAGATTAAAATTTTCAAACGACCTTCAACGTGGAGCATATACGCAGTCGTAAAGCTTGCATAATAAGTGAAGTTGCACTTTATTAGAGTATTTTACGATACATCATGAAGATCGGGATGACCGATAAATGCAATAATAAATTTTCAATTTCGATCAAGCGTATACTGACGTATAATAATAAAAGCAACGGCGAGATATTCGCAGGTTATATGGACATAAAATTAGGTTATTTAAATTCTTTAATCTGGTTGCAATTACGACGAGTTCGAGTTCGTTCGAATGATTGAATTATCAGGAACGCGTGATACGTTCGGGGATAGTTAAGCAAGCAGTCACTCGATAAGATAAATTGAATCGGCTTACCTCGTGATCTCTTCTATCAGTTTGCAGGGGTCTGCCGCGTAGAATTTCACGCCGAAATAGAGGGTGTGGACGTCCGACGTTGGATCACCTTTCTGAACCTTCAGCTGTTTGCCGATCTTCTTGCTCGGATCCAGCCATTGCTAAACAGCCGAGAATTACGCTAAATAAATTAATCTCCTAATCGGGCCGGAACACGTTACTGCGAAACTGTTCAAGATGGCCGGAAATTGCAGGCATCTCGACGTTTCCCGTGGATAATAATCCTATCCTACGGTGCCCCCGGGGCAAATGCCAATCGCCTACCTTCGAGCTCGTATGAATTTTTAATCTCGGTTTAATCTAATTAACGGTAAACCGGTCGATCTTCACCGTCGTGCTCTCCTCTTCTGAATCAAGTTAAAGAGGACCAATTTGCCTTTCGATTATGATTCGAAGAAAACGTGTTCGTGACGGGCATTAATTGGAAAAAACTTTGGGGTTATTGCAACGATTGCGTGAGAATAATTTTGGTAGATGATTTATACTGCAGATACGACAGCTTTTTGAGAATATATGGAGTGTAATAAATTTATTGTATATGTAATAATATGGTTAATAATAATTGGAGTGTTTGTAAATTCCAGAGCTACGGTCTCTCAAGTTAATTTCTGAATCCTATTCTCAAATTTCCAAATTTCTTTGTACAAAGTTTACGTACTTCAAATTCAAAAATTTTATAATTTCTACAATTTTTATAACTTCTTTAATTCAAAATTAACTCGTCCATTGGTACAATTAAAGACACGAACTATACATTCACAAGAAACTTCGATTCCTCGAAAACAAGTTTCGCAAATGAAATAAAGACATATTATACATTATACCCAGTTAAATCCTCTGTATGAATGTACGTAATTCCCATAGAGGTATAGGAACATATTTTACGAACATTACTGTCCGCTATATTAATCCCTTGAGCATTATGGTTCATTAGAGAAAGTGTCGGTACCCCACAGTGGCACGCTATCGTATTTATAGATTACAAATAGTATACGAATGTAACTCATACGTCATAACTATTATTTGAAAATATTTTATTATGAGCAATGCTAGTAAACTGCAAGAACTTCGAAAGGGTTAAAGAAATTAAATTCAGGAATTTTTATTATGTCGCTATTTTAGATAGATAATAACGTTGATCGTGACGTACATATGTATATGACATAATCACTTGCATGTGCAGCTATATGAATATTTATTATAATTATGGAGAATGAATAAGGGTATTATTATTTGATTATGAGTACTAGTGATTATTATTAAAAATGTTACTTTATAATGTGATATTCATACGTAATATACATACGTCTATAACATAATAGATGTACCTATCGTTTATAATGTAATAGACGTTTAAATGACAAATTATTTGTAATAATAGACGTACCTAACTATGAGACGTATATACTATTTATAATATAATACCAGTGCAAATTATTTATAACAAAATATTCGTAATGGACGAACATATAATTTATAACAAACTAGACGTATGAATTACTTACAACCTATGTATTATTTATACCGTAATAGTCAAAATAGGTGACAATACATAGAACAGTGAATATAAATGGTAATCTTGGTTGAAGAAATAAAAAGTAATAATCTTACCGTCTGATTGCCGTGATCGAGGTAACGAAGCCCAAAGTAAGCGGTCTCCAATAAATTCAGGTGCCTGAAGACCCTGTCCAAGAGTTCCTGGCCAAGGTTCGAGCTCTGCAAAGGAATACCGATGGTTGATTTATCGCGTCAATAACAATGTCGACGTAGCGACAAGAAACGAAATTACTTCCTGTACCGAGCCACATTAGTATCACCGCGAGGACTTTCGATCCAGGATCGATCGAGCGTGGCGATTTAAATCGTGATGCACACGCGTCATTGAACACGTCGTGAAACCGCATTAGAACGCGTTCTGTTCCTTAGCATTCGACCACTATCGATCGAACCGATCGATCGATCGATCGATCGTGATTCAGGGGTGTGCGACACGTTTCATAACGGGACTCCTCGGCCGGAACCAGATTTCCATCTGGTCGATGAAGAACTGGTCTAATATGTCATTATCGGACACGCTCGTACACGGACTCTCTTCTTATTATTTAAAATTGAACTTCTGTCGGCGAATAAATTATTCCGGGTTGTCTGTTAATTACTCGATCGCCGGGGACGGTGAAATAATTGAAAAGGGAATTATCGAATAGTTTCCACGTGGAGTCGGGGTCGATTTAACCGCGGGACATCCAGTCGGTGAACTTGAGATTGAAATCGCCGGTTTCCGGTTCCCAGTGCTCCGAAGCGAGCCGTGACGCTCGTTTGTTCCCCTTCGGGGGAAACTAACGGAGAGCCACGATGCGTGTTTTCGTGCTTGATCATTTGTTCCTTCGAGATACGGCTGCGTACAGTCAATCGCAAATCTCCCTTACCTACACATTTACGGGCACTTTCATTCTTCATTTCCATGAATTTTTCGAAATCAAAAACGAATTAACAATATAGGAATTTCGGTAGATATTCGAGACTCAAAGAGACAAGTAACTATAGACATAGAAATATAAGGATTTGTAAGTTTAAGGACTTACGAAGAGTATAAAAATCTAGGCTTTTGCGTATCTAAAGATGGAGGCTCTAAGAGGCATTTGAGAATTTAAGAATCCCTGATTTGTGGATTTAATAATTTATGAACATAGGAACAAATACAATAACTTTGAAATATATCTACATTCTGAAATATCTATTTAGAAACATTACAATTTGAAGACCCCCACATGTACAAATGTGGAGATCTAGGCAGTTGATATAGACATCTAAATATTTGGTAACCCAATAATTTGAAGAGTTGTATGAAACAGATATGGAAACAGTGGAACTTGAGTAATCAGAGAATGGAGGAGTTAACCAACGTGTCGTTACACAGGGGATACGCTGAAGCCGAGTGTACACACCGCTGGAATTCGAGGATAATAATTGAAGCTGTTGCTGATGTCTCTAACGATCCAGCGGTGGCTCGACTTTGACAAGTTGCGCGCGATATGTATTGATCATCAGAGCCTATATTCGAGACAATTGTTAGCTTGCACCGGCGAGCAGAGATGATTTATTCGCCGTGTTCGCTCTCGAGGAAATGCTTCTCTTCAGCCGAAGGTTGCGAGCAGTAATTAACGCTGGTTTCGACGCGGATCAAACCGCTAATTATGCGGTTCACTCATTTTTGTGGCGTTAAAGATCGTGCATTAATATTATGTTTCGCATGTTGACTATTAGCCACAATTGTTAGAAACTAAGGGATGCCATTTGTATTTGCTATTAATTGCCAATTGTCAATTAAAAGACTAATTATAAGAATGCAAGTTTTTGAACATTTGATCATAACTTGACAATGCACCACAGAGAATAAATCTATTTTTTAAAAATATTAATTTACGTAGAATAAGCAGCAGCGAAATTACGAGCAAGCAAAAATGCTCGTTCTTTCCATAACTCATTGAGCGATCAAGTCGTTTGAACATCGTCGTTCTCATCATCTTCTCCTGTCATTTCTTCTTCAAATGCTCGTTACCGCGCCGGATGTATCTTACACGGATTCGCATAGAATACCAGGATAATAAGAGCTGTTGATTTCTCTAACGACCAAATGATGGCCCATAATTCAACTGAAACGCGATACGTGGAAACGGTGGCTTAACTCTATTTACGCATCGTATAATGTCCGCGAAATCGATTAGAATACATTCGGTCGAGGAACATTCAACTTTTGATCGAATCAGTGAAATCAAAGTTATCTTTTTCCCGTTGATACTTTTGGTATCTGGAACGCGAGAATTTATCGTAGGTGCCGCGAACCCATTTACGCCTCTGGCATCTATTCTGCACCTGCAGTTCTACCTTGAAGTTTACACCTTCAATGGATCAGACTTCTTTTTCTTTTCAGATCGACGAACAAACGGAGTAGTTTTTTTGAAGTATGAGAACTGGAGGAGTTGGTGAAACCTTTGTAGGTCTACGTTTGTAGATGAAGTGTTTGTCGAAGAGTTCATTTCTGCCTTAAACAGGTGGTTTACACATTCCTCAGGCTACTTCTTCTACCGGGGACAGGTAGAATGACATTGAGATCGCAACGTACAAATATGGAGTTGGAAGTGTGAAAACTCGAGGTTATGTATTTGGTAAAAAATCCTTTGGGAATTCTATGTTTGCGGTAGATTAAGTGCTCTCATGTCTTCATAGTGTGATCATGGAACAGATAATTTATGAAGGACAATTTTTTAATTTAAATATTTACAAATACCAACTTGGATGTCTAGGAAACTTTCAACCTTCACAAATTCGCGAATTAAAAAATGTTAACAAAAGTCTTCAAGTTCTTTCAAATTATATCTTCTTGAATGTAGCACATTCGAAGCTTGATAATTTAAAAAAAATAGAAATTTAGAAACATCTCAGATCGAAGATATAACAATGTAGAAATTTGCAAGCTAATTCAAGAAGTCGAAAGTTAATAACTCTGAATACTTTCAAATCGCGAAATCGTAAAATGGGTATTGACTGCGCATGCGCGAGGGATCCATGCGTGATTCCCAAAAACGCGGGAAAATGAAATTAAACAAGAAACAATTATATAATCCCTTATTTTCTCTACCTATTTAACTTTTCGATCGTTGCTCACAGGTGATTCCCCTCCCCATTCTCTACAAGCAATTTTATTAAAACGTTCCCTTATCTTCCGGCTGGCTCGGTGAATCTCCCCTTAACGTGTACGGACACGATTCAAATGAAATATAGCGTTCGCGGACCAACCAAGTATATCGCGATTTTATCTGGCCAGCGAAAAATAAAAAAAGCAGCACGGTGCTCCGCAAGCAGAACAATGTTATCATAGGTGCACCGAAAGAGAGACGTAACCCGTACACCCGAGAAGAGAAAACAGAGTTGGAAGAAAAGAAACGTTGAACGTCGATGGTCCAAGGTTTACTGCCCATCTCGACCGGTTATTCCCATAATCTATGGTGGCTGGCATCGAGTACGAAGCTTTTCGAGTGCAGCTTCTGTGTGTTTCGATTTAACGCTGAAATTGCAACGTTTGGCGAACGCCGTACACGGTGGCAAATTTACGCACAGACGGTGAAGGTGGCCGCCTCGGGCTTCGTAACATTGGCCTTTCCATACCGTAATGCAAATTTATCTTATGTAATAAATTTCGTTTAATATCCGGTGGACAGTGTGTAACTTTTATTTCTGTGACTGGTTGCTGCTTTGTGTTTTTTATTTTGTCGTTTAATTAGAAGGGTGTAATGGGAACTGCTCTGTTGTTTTATGGAGAACAATCTGGAAATACATCTAAGAACATGGACGTCTAGGAACCTTGGTATTTGGGAATTTAAATTAGTCATGCAGGTAAATTGGAGGTCTAGAAATTTACATGTGTAGGTAATTGGAGATACACGAATATAAAAATGTTGAGTACAGAGATCTAGAACGTAGGAATCTACAAATAGGTATACATATAAGGTATCTAGGTACATCTAGGTACATGTATATGAGAATCTACGTGTATCTGAATCTAGGAAAATGCGAATCCAGAAAGATAGGAATCTACGGATGTGCAATCTGAAGACATAAGAATGTGGAGATATAAAAATCCAAAGATATGAGAATGTATGCAAGAGTCCACATATGTAGAGTAATCTAGTCTAAAAATTGTTGACATAGAAATATAGGAATCTACCCATGTCTCTCTTCGCTCTTTCACAAGTCTAAAACATGGCAACTCTCCTAGAATCCTTAACTGCAAAAAAGAATTAGACTGAAGAGGTTATCCTATCTTAGTAAAACTAGCAACGCATCGACCCTTAGCTAGATACGTGCAGCAGGGTCAAGTTCGCGAGTCGTCGAGGTCGCGTCAGAGGTGGTTCGTATCTCGAAAATTGGTATTCCCCGGTAGGTATGAGTTAGCGGCATCGGTATGTGGGTATTATACCTTTTGTATTCCGATGTGACACGCCTCCGTCACGTTTGCGACCGTACAACGACGACGACGTTCGGCCACGAGGACGTATAGGTGGACAAACGATAAAGAGCGTCCACTCGGTTGTCGCGGACGTATATATACGCGCGTGACGCACACGTACGCGGCCGACAGAGTAGCACGTACGTGAACGGACCGTACAGTAAACCCACACGAACGGAAAGACCCATGCGGATGCCATACGTAAACGCTCACTGGTAGCCGAGACTCGTATGTACGTTTGAGAATACATTATGTAAGCAAAAGGTGAAAAAAGACCCTGGAATAACCCCCACCAGGATTCCACCGAGTCGTACCTACGCCCCTGCTCCCTTCCAGTCGACTCCTTGTTCCTGTACCCCCCGACCCCGAGACATCGGGCCAGGAGCATCAGGGCATAGACCTTCGCTCTGTTAAGGTCCGTTTACATCTACGGACATTCGATGTGTCAGACACCATATTTTCGACCATCGAATCACATCGTATTACCTTCTTAAATATGGGATATATCTGCAGGAAATTGTACTTCTACATTTAGATACATTATCTTGGTTCTACTTTTCATTTATATGTTACTTCATTTGTTATATGAAATTTTTTATTATGTGCTGATGTTCAAACTTCTTTATGGACATAGGTTCATTAATATCTTTGACATAGGGTATATTTGAAGAAAATTGTACTTGTATGTTTAAATGATAGATTATCTAAC